ACATAACCCCCCCCCCCCTTTGCGCGTACGCCACCACTCACGGCGACACTGGAAATTGTGTCAATGGCTCCCACCGCCTTGATTCCCTCTTAACTTAACAATATGAGTTCGAACCTGTTGCATCCAGCCTCGATTGGATGAATTGTATCTCCTGTTTTAAATCCTCGCTGTGTCATAATCAATGGTGGCTTTGGGGTAAGGAAAGTCCTTTTAGGGGTGGAACATTATTACGGAGATGGGTGCAGGCCAGGGTGGCATGAAATGTAAGCAAGAAATGAAAGTTTAGATATTTCAGGGAAGTATTTCATATTTTTCAGGGGCTAGAGTGTGCAACCCGCACTCAAACACACGAAAATAGAAGAAAGTCACGATTTTTACTTTTTGCAAAACAAGAAAAGGAACCGGTATTTTTCAATATCTTTCATAAATTTCTGAAATTTCGTGAAATTTCAAGATTTTATTTTTTCATGATATTTTGCCACCCCGAATAAAATCTTAAAATTTCTCGTGATATATTTATCAAATTTAGAAATTTATGAAAGATATTTAAAAATGCCGGTTCCTTTTCATGGTTTGCAAAATGTACAAATTCTTTCTTCTATTTTTGTGTGTTTGAGTGCTGGTTGCATACTCTAGCCCCTGAAATTTCATGAAATATTTCAAAGCCTCGTGTAATTTCATGAAACATTTCACTGAAATTTCCACTCTTTCATTTCTTTCTCACGTTTCATGCCACCCTGCTCCGGAGATGGGTCGAGAATTTTGGATGAGGTCGTCATAGCTGCCAGCATGAAAACCAAATGTAGACGCACCGTCGCCCGAAGGGCTTTTCGTTTTTTATAACGGAGGTTGGCAGTTCGTTAAAAACCTCGACCAAAACTCGCGAAAATTTGCCCATAGCCTGGGCCATCCTCATCTTATCCATTCAAGTTTCAACCTGTAACCCTGTCAAAGGCACGGTTGAGCGACGTCTGCTCCGAATAATTCTTCCCCTCGTCGAAACAATAGAAACGGGGGTTAACTCCAGATCGCAATCTGGCGATCATCGTCGGGACTGGTCAAGTGGCAGGAGCCAGGCAGTGGCGTGGCGCGCTTTGCGATATATCGATTGATCTTCCATTTAAACCCATGGAAAGGATCGATTAACAGGGTGTTCGCAGCGAACACCTAAACTATCGATTCTTTACCATAGCTCTAAATGGGGAGGTATCGATAATCGATCATTCACGCCTCGCCAATGGAGCCAGGAGAGGAGCGACCGCGACCGTCGCACAGTGGGTCGAGTCAATTAGAGAGGTCGGACATGAAATTCTTAACTGAAACTGCCAATTTTGATGTTTATTTTGTCACATTTCAAATTTCAAGGAGTGTTTCTTTAGGTAAATTTTACAAGGAAGCCAATGAAACTACTTTCAGAACCTCAAAATCTTGTATGACGGAGTTATGAGCTCTTAAAGTTTCCAAATTGTGTCCGATCTCTTCTATTGACTCGATCCACTGTGCGTCGGCATCGACGAGACAACGACATCTTGTACAGGGTGCAGGAGCACGGTTCGACGTCGGATACTACGCGTTTGGCAAGTTGCCCGCCACGTCCGGGGGGGCACCAGCACCACCCGGGGGGAGGGGAGGGGGGGGGCTGCAGCACCAACACGTGTGCCGCTCGCTCCCAGTCGTGTGAGCAGACGCCTGTCCACTGCACACAGCACGCTGCACTGCCCACGTCAAGATGGAAGCGTGATGCACTCCGAGAAACAATAGGGCTGCATTTAGCGGGAATGAAGCGGGTTTTTCGGTGTCGACGTCACGGTCGCGTCACAGGGATCGGGAGTTCGGGACACGCCTGCCCACTGATTTTTCAAGATTTTTAAAAAGAAGTTTGTTAACATTCAGTAAGATATTTGGACGTATTTCTGTCAAACGGAACTATCTGCATTATGACGTGAACTCTGTTACGCATATATTCTTATGGGTCTCAGGGCTCATGTCTTAATGCACATAGTTCCGTTTGGCAGAAATACGTCCATTTAACCGTGACGTATTCCGATTGGAATTTTAGAGAGAGCAGATTTCACGACGCGAAAGAGTTGTAGAAGTTACACACACGCACTCCGTTTTTTCGCCTTCAATTTTTGAGTTAGGCCAAATAGTATGCATCTCGCAGCAATATCCATATCGACGGTGTAAAAGTCCGCAACCACGTGTCATCTCGGTCGCAGACCTCCTGTCATACTTTATTTCTTAAACGGAAAACTACACAACGGCAATCCTTTAAACCCGCCGTGATTTTTCTTCTCTGCGCGAAGAAAATTCCGCAATAACTTGAAGGGATGTCAATTTGTTCTCCTTTTAAAAAATAACTTAGAGGCGGAGATTTTCAGACACCACAAACGAAATACGTGATTGCGGACTTACGCCGTCGATATGTCACCGTCTTCTTGTGCTGTAATGCGTTTGTATTGTGTATATTGTTTGTCTTTAAAAGTGATTGCAAATGTTACATACACTTAAAAGTAACAAACTTATTACGTACATTTTAATGGCATTTAATTGGCTGGCTAAGCTATTAAAGACATAGTGAATGTTATAAAAAACGAGCTACAAGCCGGCTTATTAATAGCTGTTGCTGCCTTTAAGTGGGTGATAGCGGCACTCATTTTAGGGAGTCCTTCGCCCCCGTTGCCCTCTCATGCGCAACTTTATAGCCTTTGGTCGGGTTGGCTATACCCTCAGTTTTGTGGGCCATGATAAAGCAACTGAAGAATGCCTGGCGTGAAACTATTCGTAGATGTCGTTCAGCTCAGGTTTTCCTTCAATTTCGCAGTTAAGCAACAAACATACCAGGGAGCGTGTATATCTATCTATTCATAAAACTCCTTTAACTTGCTCCAATGAACTTTTTAAGCCTTGAATACTTTAAAATGGGTGGGTTTAAAATGGGTACTCATTCTCCTAGCAACTTCCTAGAAAATTGCCGTTGTATTTTGATGTAACTTAGGATTAATATATCCTGGGAACGGGGAGGTTTCCTCTCGGATCCTTCTAACCCACACAGTGGATAGAGTCAATCAGAGAGGTTGGACATGAAATTTTTACTATATCTGCAATTTTTGATGTTAATTTCATCACATTTTAAATTTCAAGGGGTGCTTCTAGAAGAAAATTTCACGAATAAACCAATGGAACCACTTCTAGAACCCCAAAGTTTGGTACGAATGGAGTTGTAAGCTTTCAAGGTGTCCAAATTTTGTCCGACCTCTCCTGTTAATTCGATCCACCGTTCGCCAGCTCGATTTTAATATGGATTCGTTTTGTTCTTGTGTTCGCAGATTTCCTACGGTGAAAATAGTTAAGTAATCTAGCTAGAATGGAGGCAGAGACTGATCTAGTTGAAACTTTGACTGAGAAAACGACGGCCATCACGATCAACGGGACCAACGGTAGCCAAGTGGTGATGGAGCGACAGATGACGTCGAGCAACGCCGACCACAAAACGGTGGAGATCTTCAAATTCGAGCAGCACATCGACAAGCAAACGACCTACCAGGACTTCAACGACGAGGACATCGACGACGAGGTCTTCGTCGAGGAGGAGGTGGCGAGCCGGCCGCGGCCGCGCGAGCGACGCATCAGTGACGTCATCGATTGCATCGGGACCCCGCCCTCCCCCTCGCTCTTCTCGAAGCGCCACAGCTTCAACGATTTCCCGCTCCCGCTGGGGAGCCCGGTGGGGCGCAACGTCCCCATCGTGATGCACCCCTCCACGTCGGACTTCAACCTCAAGGGCAACTTCGGGCTCAACGGGAAGGGCGGGCAGTCGCCCCCGAGCGCCACCGCCTTCAACTTCTGCTCGCCGCCCTCGACCCCCTTCTCGGATGGTGGTTACGGGAGCATCGGAGTCCCCACGCCGCCACCCCCGTCGGCCCTCGCCAACCGCTCGGCGTCGCACTTCCGCTACAGCACCACCAGCGTCGAGATGGTCACCACCAACGACCAGGTCGACGCCAAGCCCATCGTCGAGCACAACCCCCCGCCCTCCGAACGCGTGTAAGTACCTAATTTTTTCTCACCATCAGGGTGTCTACAAGTCCGGAATTTCCGGAAAGTCCGGAAATGGTACAGAATTTTTAAGGGGGGCCCGGAAGTACCGAAAAAGTGCGGAAATTCTGCAAAAGGTCCGGAATTTTTCTCATTTTTTGGTCATGTTTGACTCAATTTGAGTGAGAAATTCGAATTTCGTCAAATGGAAGTACTGAACAAGTACTGAATTTTTCTATCGAGGAGGTACTGAATTTTTGGGAATGTACTGAAAAAGTACTGCAAAAGTACTGATTTTTGGCCCGCCTGTTTTAGTAGACACCCTGACCATTTTCATGTGCTGAGATCTTGGCAAGGGCAAAATATCATCGGGGATCACAGGGAAATATTAGGGGCCGTCCATGAGTGACGTCAGGGTCCCAGAATGAAGTCTGGGAGCGCCTGATGTATACTGGAGTAAAGCGGGAATCAGGGTGAAATCGGTGCGGAGCGCTTATTTCAATGAGAATTTCGACCGAAAATGACATGGATATGAAGGGTGATTGATCCAACCCTGACGTCATTTCCAAGGAAAGTTCAACGCTGCCCAACATGTACTTGACATTAGGCGAGGAAATAAAAAATCGGAAAATTGGTGTGACGACATTTATGCACGGTCTTCTTGGGTGAAATATGATCGAAAATTATTTCTTCTCAATTGATTTTTCACGATTTTGCAAGTGTTCACCACTCTCGAAACGATTATTTCAGGTAATACTGAATAGAAACGTTTACGGGTGCAGCTGCAGCTCGTCATTTTGTTTATTCTTATTCTTATTCTTATGTTAAGGAAACTGGGAAAAGTTGTGAAATTTTCTATAGAGGAGTACACGTATCTCCAGTTTTCATACATAGCCCAAGCAGGTTCTTTTAAATGAGAAGGTAGATTGAAAAACGAAATGAATTGCAAAATGACAATGATGTTAAAAGCTTTTAGTTACTGTACTCTGTCTTTTTATTTTTGTGCTTAACTTTGAAATATGTATCATATTTTGCTCGAAAACTTATAGATAAACTCCGAATTTTGTGTGGGAACACTTGTGTACATGTTGAGTGCTAACTGCAACAAATAGTTCCCCCAGAAAATTATTTAAGCTCGCTTACAATGTTTTTCCACTCTTGTCCTCATTTGTAGGTACATCATAAACTTCTATATCAGTTTACATAGTTTCTTACAACACTTGAAAGAATTTCCAAACATTTTAAACATTAATAGTGTCTGTTCCTCTAAGGAAATTACAATATTTTCTCAAAATTAAAGTAACTGATTACATAAACTCAGCGAAGTTATGTCAATACTTAGTTTATTGAAAATATCGAAATTAAGTAATTTTTTTGTGTTCAAAATCACTGATCAAATCATTTTTATCCTGAAACAGACCCTGCATCGAAGCATCAATGCCTGTTCATGCTGATTCAGAAGAGTACAACATGAACCATGCTCGACGAGGCAAGGCAATAATTTTTAACCATGATAAATTTACCATGGCAAACATGAAAGATCGAATCGGATCTTCCACTGATGTCAAGAATCTGAATGCTGTTTTTACCAATCTTGGGTTTGAAGTGTTCATCTACGAAAATCTTGAGTGGACCAAGATGGAATATTTGCTCCATAACTGTAAGTAGTTCTGTCTCTTCCTCAGTCCTTTATTTCTGCAAACATTCTTTGGAAAATGGATAAAATTAAGAACCTTTATCGGAACCACAACAAAGAAATGAATTCACAATTCCAAAATGATGATAAAGACAAACTATTTCTGTGTCCGTTGTTTTTTTTTTTTTTTTTTTTTTTTTTTTTTTTTTTTTTTAAATATTTCACTTTCTCAAGCCTTTATTTGTTGAAAAATGCGATTCGGAATTGCAATCTAATATGTAATTAGCAAGAAGGAGATTATAGCCAAAAAACTGCACATGATTTTAGAATCTTTTCTTTCTTTTTTCTTTTTACCTTGACTCCAAACACTCAGGGTAATTTCCACAACAAATGTCCTTCTCTTCGTTTCATGAATAAAACAATATTCACTTTTCAACATTATAATAATGTCAGTAAGTTACTTGCGTTTGATCAAAAGTCCTCTTTTTCATTTTATTTTCCCTCTCAGACCCTATAATTAGTTTGAAGACCCTCTCATTCTTCTGAGAAGAATGATATCTCTCAAATTTGGTCTCTCAAACCGTCAGATACTCTCTGCTAACTTTGTTAATGTATTTGTCAAGTGAAGACAATTAAATTGTTTTTCTTTTGAGAAGGCTAAATAGTTAAAAAAAGATTTGAAAACTGGACATTGGATTATGTATGACTTTTGAATAAGACACTGCACCAAATTTACAAGAAATGAGACAGGGGTACATCACAGGGATAAAGAAGCACTTTTTTTTCTCCAACAAACGTCAAGGGTCTTCATGATGAAAAATTCTCAAGAGTGATACATTAGTAACACTACAGACTACAGGTCTGAGAAATGGGAGAAAGATCACGAGTGAAATATGATCCAATCTCTTATACAGAAGGTGACATCACACATTGGCAAGGTAGTGTGACAACATTCTATCATAGGAATCATCAGGAGATAGTGGTCTTTCTAAACTGATAAGGAATTAAAAAAATGAAATAAAACTCAAAATCGTAGGAAAAGCTGAATTTTGTCGAAGAGAGAGCTACAATGAGAGTAAGAGAGGTAGAAATAGAGAAGAAAATAATGGACTCGATATTTGTATGGTTGGTTCGTAGATACGTTTATTAGGTGCTTTTAACAATTGAGCCATTAACACCTCAGAGGAGAGATCAAAATGGTGTAGTGCAGAATTAAAATTTAAAAAGAAGGGGTCACAAAAGGTAGTACAAAATTAAGAGTTAGGACAAGGAAAGAATACATTAAATTTGGAGATTAATTCGTTTGAAAAAGAGAGGGATTTCACGAAAATACTTTGAAAGGATGGTATGGAGATCAGAAAGTGGAATGACTAAATACTAAATGACTAAATATATGAAACTAAAAATCGTAGGAAAAGCTGAATTTTGTCGAAGAGAGAGCAACAATGAGAGTAAGAAGGGAAGAAATAGAGAAGAAAATAATTGACTTGATATTTGTATGTATGACTAAATACTTAATGGTATCCCAACCTACATCAACATTAGAACTCCCAAATGACGTATCTTGGTGTGCAACTTTCTGTCATATTTTATTTTTTAAACGGAAAACTTTTCAACACTAATTTTTAAAAACTTCAGTGAGTTTTCTTCTCTGTGAGAAACAAATTCTGAAACAACTTCTAGGAACGATGTTGATTTGTTCTCCTTCAAAAAAATATGATAGGAGCAGAGATTTTTACACACTGCAAACAAGTTACTTCGTTCGGGAGTTTCACTGATAAGGAATTAAAAAAATGAAATGAAACTAAAAATTGTAGGAAAAGCTGAATTTTGTCGAAGAGAGAGCAACAATGAGAGTAAGGAAGGTAGAGAGAGAATAAAATAATGGACTTGATATTTGTATGTATGACTAAATACTTAATGGTATCCTAACCTACATCAACATCAGAGCTCCCAAATGACGTATCTTGGTGTGCAACTTTCTGTCATATTTTTTTTTTAAATGGAAAACTTTTCAGCATTAATTTTTAAAAACTTCAGTGAGTTTTCTTCTCTGTGAGAAATAAATTCTGAAACAACTTCTAGGAACGATGTTGATTTGTTCTCCTTCAAAAAAATATATTAGGAGCAGAGATTTTTACACACTGCAAACAAGTTACTTCGTTAGAGAGTTTTACCGTCGAAATGTGATACATTATTTACCTGTCACACTAGGCAAAAAGATTCCCACTACATTCTCATCACTGGCTTGTTATCTGAGAAAACAATTTCTATTTGACAGAGGTAGCATCAAGTTTATTGATAAAGCAAAAATTTTGAATCTTCCAAAAATTTTAGTCACGATTCTGTGGCTCTTAGCTATTCAGGTAAATCCAGGCTTCGAACTCTGCAATTTGGCCACAACGTCGCGCTGCTCAGAATTGCCGTATATATTTGCCAAAATAATAAAAACCTTAATACTTATTCAAGATTGGGGATCCAGGGGTCATAGCAACATACTTGAGGAACACTCAGTAATAAAATCTTTTCAAAATTCCCAAAAATAAAGTCGTAACCACGGTGGAGAGTAATTCCCATTGCGGCAATGGGAGAGAGAGAGACAGAACATGGGGGATTCGGTTGCGCGCTCAGCCGCTGCCGCTGAGCTGAAAATTTCAACCGTACTTTCTCAGCGCCTGTAATTCTAATTGCCAATAGTTTTGGCTCAAAAAATCAAGCAAAAAATAATCTATATCTTGTGGATCTGAATTCTGTAATTTGATCAATATTATATCAGTAACTGTCGAAGGAAAGTGAAATTCCTAGTGGTGATTGGTGGCACTATCTCTGATCTTGAATTTTCCCTAATCGAACCCTGGATTCACCTTAACATGCGTATTTAGTTCATTAATGTCATCTAATTTTATTTTATTTCTTCTTCCCCAAAAAATCTCTTAACAGTGAGCCAAGAAGATCATTCAGATGCGGACTGTTTGGTCGTAATTGTGTTAACTCATGGTCTTGGACCAACTTACCTTGTTTCGGGAGATGTGCCTTATCCTGTGGAGAGTCTATGGACACCCTTCACGGCGGACAAGTGTGTAACTTTGGCAGGAAAGCCAAAGCTGTTTTTCATTCAGGTTAGTAAATCACGAAAAAACTTCTTCATTTTTCAATATTGTGCCTTAAGCCCCTTTTTATATATATATATATGTGTGTGTGTGTGTGTGTGTGTGTGTGTGTGTGTGTGTGTGTTTCATTTTGTCCCTATTCTATCTAATAGTATGTTACGAATTTTTGTTGATGTATTCAACCATTCTCTTTTTTTTCATTTATTTCTTTGAATACAATCATAATTTCTCTTTTATTTTTAGAATTCAGTTTAACACTAAGGGACCAAACCGTATTAATGTAAAATGGGGAAAAAGGGCTTGAAATTCCTATGCACTAGTTGATATCAGGCATCAATTTTAACCTTTATTTTTGGGTTATTTCATGGCATAACAAGAAGTGACAAAATATCACAACCCATCTCAGATTTGCATGGTCCTTCTCTTTTTAATTGTTCTTTAGTTCAAAGTAAGAGAAAATCCAAATTTTTTGCTAAAATGCCCAATACGTTTTGAGAAAAAAATTATTCAAGTTTTGATGACTTTTGAAAAATGCATTTTACATATTACAGAATTGGGGATTAATTCAGCCTACTTGAAGCTAATCCTCTAGTGAAGAAAATTTGCTGTTGCTTATCACTTGAGGAGTTTTACTCGAAATTATATTTGCTTATCTTACCAAGAACTTTTTTATTCCTTGAATGATTTGGAAATCTATTTATTGCCTCCCTGAAGGTTTCATGTACATTTTAGCATTAAAATTTTGGATCCTGTGTAAACTATACGGCACATTTTCAGTGAGCTTTGAGTGGGCGTGTCGCTTAAAGATCTTATTATCCATGTAAGTCAGTTAAGTTTTTCAACCATTAAATCAATTTTTCAGGCCTGCCGGGGAGATAAGCTGGATGGAGGTTTGAACTTGGTAAGCCGAACCCAAACAGACTCTGGGAAAGCAGGTTATAAAATTCCAACTCACGCAGATTTTCTCCTTGCATTCAGCACTTTTGAAGGTCAGTATGTAAATTTTTTGTCAAATTAAGAAGGGGTTGAGAGTCTAAAAGCTTGTTCCACTCTAGAGTGTCTAGCAACCGGGAACACACAGAGAGTAGTGCGCTGCCAGGACCCCCTGAGGACGCTTTGCGGACCTCTTGTGGGTTTATCTAAATAGAGTGGGCTCATGTAGGGACTATGTTCTATGGATAGCCTTAATGGATTTTCCAAACTGTGAAAGGAGATGAAATGTAGAAAAATCAATAATGTATCCTCAGAATTATCAAGGAAATCAGAAATAATGATACTTTACAGTACGACAGAAAATATTTTTATGAAGAGTGATTAACGAAGAGTTATGTGCTCAGGATTATTGAGGCAGTCAAGAATCATGATACTTCACTATGAGAAAAAAAAACAATTTTACAAACATTACGTGACTATTATTATTACTTTCAAAGTACTTGCCTTCATTTTTGACGCAAAGGTCCAGTCGTTCTCTCCACTTGACAAGAAAAGTTTTCTCGACTTCTTCTTGAGGGATGAATTTAAGGAAAGTTTGAACGGCTGACTGAATTTCTTTGATTGAGTTAAATCTTCTGTCTCATAAATCTTTCTTAAGTTTTGAAAATAGCCAAAAATCGCACGGAGTCCNGGGGGGGGGGGGGGGGACAATACGCTCTTGCTTAATGAATTCTTGCGTAAATTTTGCTGTGTGTGGTCGCGCATTCTCCTGATTCAGAAGCCAAGTCTTGCGAATTTCTGGACACTTTCCTCTGATGTGTCTCTGGAGTTGTTGCAAGACTGTACAGTAATATTCTTTGTTGCCAACTTCATTCCATTGCATTTGTTTACCTGGAAAGAGTTTGAACTTTTGCGTTCCGCTCTTTAAGATTTTTCTTCAAAAAAAGGTGCCAGAAAAACGCCAGGTTCAATTTTTACATGTCAACTTTGAAGTGATATACCTTTGGCAATTTTTAAGTCAGAGACCTGCACTTGGTCTTGTTTTCAAGCTAAAGATTCAATTTAGAGCCCCACTTAAACTGCATGTCCATACCTCTTACCGTTTTCTCAAAAAAGGGAAGTAAGCAGTACTTTTGGGACAGCCTTTGTATATTATAGAGGAGAATTTACTTGAATTTTTCTCAGCTGGCCCTCAAAAAGAATTTATGTGCTAACTACTCGAACAAATATTGATGTATAATCCAGCAAATCTCTTGAAAATTGACATATGAATAAGTATTTAAATTAATTCTATATTACTAGCATAAAGAAGGAGATTTAGTAATCCTTTTTGATCATATATTCTTCATAAACCGGAGCCTTTGAACATGAATCGAAAAGTATAAGCTCTAAAAAGCTTTAACTCTTTAAAATGTAACGCAAGAAATGTTTTAAGAGCATATTGCTCTTGGTAATTCAACCTGAGGTCATTATTTTTCTATTTTTGTTTCTTTTGAATAATCCTTGCTTGCTGTATGTCTTATCTTCAACTTGTATTTTGTCCAAAAAAGGGTTTTTTTCATTTCGCCATCCCGAAAATGGTACTTGGTTCATACAGAGTCTCTGTGAGGAGCTGAACGCGCATGGTACTTCAATGGATTTACTCAAGTTATTGACACGAGTTAGCCGTCGTGTGGCCATAAACTTCCAATCTTACAATGATTCCCAGCCTTGGTTTGATGAGCAAAAACAAGTGCCCTCCATCAACTCCATGCTGATCCGAGATGTCTACTTTCGACCCAAGAGGCCTGCAATAGATTTGTCCCCAATGATTTGATGTTTTCAGTCAATTCATAGGTAAGTTATTTCAAGAACAATTCTTTCTACAGACGAAGATTTTTAACGTTTTATTTTTCCATGGAAAAAAAAATACATTGCTTGGACATTTTATTTTCCCGAAAGGAAAAGAATAACATGGGATTTGAGGCTATCTACATTTTTTAACTTTTTTTTAGACCTTAGAATTAGATAAGCTTTTAAAATTTATCTTTTTATGAACCAATTTTAAGCAAAGTAGGGCTTGAAATTGGATTCATCATAAGATTGATGGTCCCGCTTATTACCAGAATAGGAGTTTAGATGGATGGGCGTCCTCAAGTTCTTACGTTTTTTGGCCAAACGGAACCAAAAGTTTTCCGACTTATGACAGCAGGGCAACGCATAATCTCTTCAACTTCCAGGCAGAGGCTCCTTCGAAAAGCCCACTATTTTTCTGTGCAATACTGTAGGGAGAAATACCGTCACGCGAACACTATGAAATCCACTTTTCAGCCCTCTGGAACAACTTAATAAAAATGTAAATCAGTCAAATAAATAGCAACTACAATATTTTATTTTTCTGTGCCTCTTTAGTAAATCTCCTTCCAGTGTCCTTATTTCATGAGTCTTTTTTACTCTTTTTTTTCAGGAAAATTGTTTTTTCGCACCACGGAACCTTTTGCCATGTTGATGAAGAAGTGTGTGTATTGTTACTTACCTTCATTTTTATCTTTCTTCTTTTTTTGCATTTTATTTCTAGTTATATTTTTTAGTACGTAAGAAACGTTATTTTTTATGTAGAGTTTATGACATGGTTTCAAAAGGTATGCTGAAGTTTCAGTGCTTGCTGTGCTGAATATCATGAAAGTTTTTCTGAAGAACTGAAACTTACAGATGTTTGCTACTCAATAATTTGATGCACTTGTTGCCTCTCTTAAATTTTTGCATGAAAGTGTCAAGCTTTTTAAATATCTAGAAAGTTACTGAGAGTTTTCAGGTTTTAAGGGATGGCACCAACGAAATTTCAGTAAAATTACTGAAGAGATGAAACTTCTGAGTGTCTGTTCTTTCTCAGAGAAAACTTGTACCGAAAAATTGAAACCATCTATCTTAAAATTTGAAACGTCAAAAAAAAAAAAATACAATTAATAAGTATATAAAGGATAGGCTGCCAGATGCGACGGATCTTGCATGTAACATCGATAGAATGCTCTTTTTACAAAAACATTCCATCCGGTTTTATATACATGGTGCATTTATTAATCATTTTCCCTGTAAAAAATGAAACCAAAAATCAAATCAAAATGCTCTGTTTGCCACCTTTATCTAAAATCTCATAAAAATATAAAAAAGGCAAAAAAAGTAAAAAAAAAAATTAATATATTTGTTTTTGTGCTTAATTTGATTTGTAAAACGAGAAAAGTTTCATTAAAAACAATTCGAACACTTACACTGATCGACACATAAAAATGCTCTCAAGTTTTGACGGCAGAAATTTACTAATTTTGGATTGTTGAGTCAAAAAAGAACCTCTGTTTTTCATTATTGGTCTCCGCTTTTGGATGCAATCTCTCTTGCATAACCCCAAATGAAACCATGTTAACCATATGCAATTCTCTTATAAAACTGATCAAATTTGTTTTTGTGGGTAAGAAAGGATCTATTTTTTTACCCAGGTGTCTGCTGAAACTTTTCCTACTTACTTTTTGCCGCTGAAACGACCTCTATTTCTTTTCATTACAAATAATTAGTAGTTGATGACAACAGACTAAGGTCATTTTCGGCTTCAGCAGAAAAAATAATGGGAACAGTGCCCCAATTGGACTACTTGTTCTTAAAATTTCCCCTTACTTTTTAGGTGAAAAACAATTGGATAAATTTTTTATGGTGATGACATGAGGTTCAATCGGTTCTATAGGGGTTGCGGAGTGCATGCAAACTGGAGGCTTATACAGTGAAGTGGAATTCATTTTCGGACCTAGCTATCTAAAATTAATAAGGCTCGGCCATCAAATCTTAAAGGCATTTTTCCGGGTTTTTTATTTTTTTTTGGTAGGTCAGTGTTATGATTGCAAGTACTTTCTTAAAACTTGAGGTGCATTTAATGTTGCATTTTTAGTGTAGTAAAATGTATTTTTGATGAAAGTATTATGTAGGTACATTTCATTCATTTGTCTCAAATTGCTATGTAATGTATGGATCTCAAAAGTTAGATGTAGAGTGATTTTCTTTCATGTAATCTTCAAATAATTTTAATTTACTTTTAAGGAATTGTTGCATTTAGCCCAGTCAAAACCCTTGCGGAAGAATATATAATTGAGTTTTCAGTTACCTCTGAAAAGAACAAAAAAAAATAATTCCGGAAAGTTTGAATTGCCGCTTTTTCAATGCAAAATTAAAATGTAAAAAGTATAAAAAAAGATCTTTTATCCCCATGACTTTTTTCTTTTACTTAGATGCTTTGTTATGCGCCTGTATTTTTTCATGATTTGTATGACTATCCAGTCTCTGACTGCTCTCAAGTCTCCATTCTATCAACTTACTTTCAGTGCTTTTCTTCCCCTGTGTAAAAATATTTTCTACACGGCTCCTTTTTTTACTTTTTAAATTGGTTTTTTGTCAGATAAGTCGGCAGTTATTTACCGTTTGCAAGCAACTGCACTGCTGTAATCCATTAGTGATCAAGGATCGACCGAGTGCTACAACAACGCTGTGCTGCTGTTGTGCACAGCAATGGGAAACTAGTACCTTCTTCTGAGGAAATTTTGCTTTTGTCCACTCCGTGTGAAAGTCTAAAGTAAACAACTGCTAATTTATTTGAAACGAGTTCTACTTGCCTCTGTTTCAATGCAAAATACAAATGTAAAAAATATAAAAAAGAAGATTTTTTTGGAAATGCGAGGATGCTTTTTTATGCGCCCGTGTTTTTTTATGTTATGACTTTATACAGTCTGTGAACGCGTTCAAACCTCCATTTTATCAACTTACCCTCGGTGTTAGTTTCCCCCTATTTTTACATATTTTCTGAAATTGAAAATAAGCTAATTTTCAATTATACTTAAGGCAATCAAACTTTTTGTCGAGACTGTTTCAAAATTGTGTCTTTCATTTAGCATAATTATTTCTCTCTCAGCTCATATCCTCAAATGTTTAGCTCAATTTAGTAGGTACTCTTAATTATTGTTTTTAAATGTATGTATGCTTTAATATTGGTTATTATGTGCCCAGATTCTTTCATCAGTAAGCGACTGTTTCAAAATGTTTCTTTCTAATTTCTAAGGGAATTTTGTAGGGATGGATCTCAAAAATTATTTTGCTAGATTATTTCATTCACACCAAGTCACTTATTTCTTTTAGATATTTATGTTTTTATAACTCAAAAGAACAAACCGTCTTATTTTTAAATTGTGGAATGTGAAAAATTGCCAATCATAAGACTGTTCTTTTGCTTCAATGCCACTTTATCTCATTCGTCTGGTTCAAATTAGAAGTTTGTTAAATCTTAAAGTGTCATTCTTCGAAGAGAGAGAGAGCACTGGCTGGTAATTTACTCTATCAATTGTTTTTGCAGCCAGGCTACTGCTTAGTTAAATGGAGTAAGAAATTAAGCATTTCAAAATGTTTCATGCAGATATGTTTTTACAGTGTTTTTTTATATATATTTCTCAAACAAACTTGTGAACTGAGCAAGTTTTCATTTTATTTTTTGTTAATGTATTATACTTTTTAAGTCATCATTTGTAGGCTAGAAAATAGACTAATTTAGTGGGCTACAGCATGGTGCAGTTGTAAAAAAATATAACCTTGTCTTTGATTCATGCCCTTTGAACCATAATGATAACATGCCTTTTAAGTGTTTCTTGCAGTGAAAATTTTTGATGTTTAATAAGTTATTAATTGACTTATAATTTATCAATGACTAATTTGTAATGAATTAACAAAATTAACTTTACATATTTGTCTCTGGAATTTGAACACGAGGTTATGTTTTATTGTATTTGTTTGAACCATCGCAAACTGATGTGTAGCCACTAAATCTGCCTTTTCTAATAAATCTAATGGATTTTTTCAACTTTGCATCGATTCCAGCATGATAAATACCTTTTTCTGGTATTAAAAAAGCAGTACAATTTCTCACCAAGTTTCAAGCATGGCATAATGAGCTGTTAATTAGGGCAGTGAAATTTTCCATTCCTCCTCCTCTTATTGCCTCCCCCCCCCTCCCCCCAACTTTCATATGATGTTGTGAAAGTCCCCCAATAGTGCTTAAAGTTGCATGTGGATGAGACGACAAGACGTTTCTCATCGCCTTGGTCATCCGAAGTATTCTGTTAATTTTTCCTTCCATTTTTTAATCAGATATCTAATTATGTGAAATTATTTGCCGTTCTAGTAATATACTGTGAGGCAAACGCCCTCTGTTCAATTTTGATTGGAGGATTTAGACTCAATTTTATGTATGAGGACCTTTCCGACCAAATAAAATACCTCTATGTCAACGTTGCTAAGATTGTACGTACCTTCAACTGTTGAGTCCGTAAAAAACTATACGCTCTGTTCTGCTATTCCTCTCATTTTGTCTCCATTATTCTGAATATTTTGGCAGAAGCAATGTATGATGTAAAATATTCTGGATGCTTGTAAAGGAAAAAAAAGTTGCACAATTTAAGCAATGTCTAAGCACTTGGCTTTATGCTGTCCCACAGGAAAGGTCCTCGCTTACAAAACAAATAAAAAACTAAATTATCTCCTGTCATAAAATCTTACACTCATCCTTTAAGACTTTCTTTCTGTGCACTTGACCATCAAGACTATTTCATCAGCGGTCATCAAAATAACAAATTAAAATTGATAATAGCTCAAAAACGATAGCTCACAGGTGAAATTGAATCGGTTACTTGAATACTGCTTGTAAATTTTACAAGCTTTAAGAACTTTTCATTTTCAGAGATCTCTGAAAACAGCATGGATAGGAGATTTATAGCCTCGTAATTTGGAACGAAAAATTTTTAAGATAAATTAGATGTCCCTAGTTTTAAAATTATATTTTATTGAAGTCAACTGGCAGTTCATACCGCTCTGATTTTTAAGCCCTTAAGAGAGTTCAACCTTCGTTCACTGTATTCAGTTCCTGGTCATCTAAGCCACTGCCAATTTAAACTGTGCTTTTTGTGTTCACTAGTCCATCTTTTTGTCTGATTACGCTCGGAATGTAATGTCATGTGGATGTAAAGCCAATGTAGACAAAATTTAGAAATATTTTATCAAAAAATCTCATCTCGCCCTCTCTAGTGAATTTTTCACTACAATCTTTAATGACAATTTTTTCCATGCTGCCAAAAATACATGGTACCTGTTACTTACATAACCGGCAACTTATATCTCTGTGCTCTCTTGCCTAACTGTCAATTCTCTCCAGCGCTTCTCTCTTACAGCACAATGATGGCTAAACATTATATTTTTTTAACTGTCCATTAATTGTATTAACGGAATTTTCTGATGTACTTTGTGGTCTTTCAAGTAGGGAATAAAAAATGAAAAAATTATCTGTAAATAAATATTTTTAGCTAAATCCCCAATGTCTTTCTTAGATTTCAAAGTGTATTTTTGTGGTATGTATTTTTAAATTTTATACTCTGTATAGTTTTATTATGATTGCTTCTCTTTGTTTGGAGCAATGTGTATGGCTAAAATTGTGAGTCTTTAAAACAGCCAATGCTTGTAATGTTTCAGTGCTTTTAAAGTTGATTTTAATTATATACATTTCTTTTATTATTACTTTTTTATTTTTGGCTGATTTAATATTACAACCTAAGTGTTCAAAATAGGGAAAAATTTAGTCTCTAATGTAGAAGATGTTTTTTTTCTCACTCATCCTGTGAATGCAACAAAATATCAGTGTTGAGTTGCTTTTATTCAAGCCACTGACGCCCCCCCCCCCTTTCCAGAAGAACTTATGGTAAGGTAATGATCAAATTAATTCATCAGCTCTTGTTTTCCTGTAATGGACTCAATCTAATGTTTTAAAGAATGAAAATTTCAAAAGTCTGGTAGTAACCCTCCTGAGCACTTTTTTCACAAAAATAACAATTTCAACAAAGCTAGTTTTTGCCTGTTCTTAATTTGGGAAAAAAAAAGTGAGGGATCTGTAATTCGATTGAATTTTCAGAGTTGTTTTGAAAACATCAAGTAATTCAAAACTTCTCATATTGGAACCAGGTCTTCATTCTTGAAAAATAATAGTAGATTCTGAGCAAAAATTCTGTGTAATTTTGTTTTCAATTTTTCGTTGAAGGCATGTTTTCATCACTTTTAAAGACTCCAGTTTTTGCTTCATTAGCTTCATATCTTTTTCATTTTGTTATACTTAATTTTTTATACTATTTTTAGTTCTCATCTCATAATTTTAATCTCTGTTTGTTCATTTTTTTAGTTAATTTTTCTTCACTTCTAATGAAAGAATGGCTTATCTGTTTTGAAAGGAAAATGTCAAAATTAATGTTCTATTGAACCTTAAGTTGTAATCAATAAAATCTCTCTTTCATTAAATTGTGTCAGTGTTTTTCATCTTTACCCACTCCGAATCTTAATTAGTAATAGTGTCTATGAGGCTTTGTTTGTGCATCGCAAAAATTTTCCATGCTAAATTTTAGGCATTCCGTGATCTTTTCTCTTTAGGTATGGGAGAATTAAAAGGCTGTAGAAAACTGCAAAATTGAACCAAGCAGAAATTAAGCAGAAATGCATCAGGTCACATCAAGTGTGGACCGAGATAAAGAGGTTTGAAGTTTTATTCCTTCGTAAGACTCAATGTTAAGGATAAAGTTCAATGAACATTTTCACATTTTATTATATTATTTCTTGACAATGAAGTTTTGATAGGAGAAAATGTAAGCCCAACTTATTTATTTCACAACTACTCGCAACTTAATTTTTACCAAAATGTGACTCAGTGTATTTCTATTGGACTCGGCACAATTGATTTACTACCTTTTATATCACTAAGAAACATCTTAATCCTTGGGAAAAACTCAAGACATCCCCAGCTTAGGAGGCGGCGGTGGAAAGGGGGGGGGGGTAAATGGCATTTGTCTCATGAATTCTCTTCTCAGGAGCAATTTCCAGCTGTTCTTACTGAGAAATTGACTGAAATACTATTTCAAGATAAAAGAAATGATCTGGACCGTTTTAGCAACATCCTTAACAATTTCTGGAGGAGGCTATGCAGATCTTTGAGGGGGAGGGGGGGTTCCCTTAGTTTCACCCACGGTAATGACACTGTTTATAATCGTTGCGAGTCAGTGAGGTTGTCAGTTTAGGCTAGAGCCTCCTAGTCAAAACTGGGTGAAAATGACTCAACTCAAAAGGAAGTTTGTACCCAGGATTTGTGTACCTTTCAAGCCAATTCATTAGTAGGTATATTTTTCCTTCTTTAACTGCGTTTAGTTAGAAAAGATCTGTTACCTAACATGCACTTCCATAAGATCTAAAAAATCCTCAAGCCTGATTTCAGCTCGATCCCTCAGTTAGTTTTTTTTTTTTGCTGCAGGTCAGCAAAGATTAAAAAATAGGTAGCAAAAATCCATGGGAAAAATTTCAAGTTCTTGTGAGGAAAAACCAACAGGTACAAAATTGACTTAACGTGCCAGGTAATCATTGTACCAGGTAAAGTATACATGTGCGGCTGCTATTTGGATTGCATTTAGCAAAAAGGAACCAGCACAATTACAGTGTTGTTAAAATGTCGCTTCTTTACAATTATCTTAAAAATCTCCCAAAGTAGTAAATAGTTCTTGTATCCCACCAAAAAATTGTTAATTTTAAAGGGAAATAATTAAGTAACTTTTAATACTGTACGTATTTTTGGTATTTTTAAAAGAAAATAACAGTTGCCCGATTTTGAAAACAATTGAATCACACTGGTTAGTTTCTGCTAAATGCGATCGATTCAAAGGTTGGTGCAGAGGAAATTCTGTGCGTTTCGTACATTCTCAGTTCAGTAATGACATTCCCAAATTTTGAAATTCCCGCTTAAATTCTGTTTAGCTCAATTAGCCAATCACAAAAATTTTGACTCAAAACACACCAATCACATTTTGAGCTGAAATCAGCTGACATCCAACAGTTCAAGGTCATCGTTGACGAATGAAAACAACAGTTACACAACAATCAAAACAAAGAAGATAACAGATATCAAGAAAACACGCTCTCTCATCTTCATCTCTCTCGCTGCTCTCGCTGTATGCTGTATGTATCAATTTTCGAATGTCATCCTACGTTTCTCCCTCGAGCTACGAGAACAAATCCTTTGTCGTCGCACACTTCGAGTCACTGTTTTTAGTTTTGTTCCAGTTTATTTCTTACTTTTCTGAATGAGAGTTGAAGTCTAATTCCTCTGGAGGGGTAAGTAAGTTTCTCCATCCTCTAAGTATTTTTCTTGCAACTTTTGTAAGCAACTTCTCCCATTTTTCAAAAATCAATTCGTTCATTATCTGTCGAGAGCAAAGGTAATTTCCTCTTGATAAGACGAGGTTCAGCAGCTTGCCCCGTTTAATCGCATTCTTTACCGTGAGGATGTTCTACTTTTCTGTACCTTTGAGTCTGATCCGAGGCATTTAGTACCTACCTAGTCCAATTAATTTCGATTGACCAATTTTTAACTCAAATTTTAGTCCTGTAACTGAGAAACACCAAAATTATGTAACACACAGAAAAAGAAAGAAATGTACTGGAAGTAAACATATACCTAATTTAGCCGATACGTTCCTACCATATCAATAGCAATAGCTCTACTCCAATTAACATTCCAACTCCAAGTTACAGGATAAGAGTAAATTTTAGGAGGTTTTTATTTTTTGTACACCTAATAGAATTATTCACCATTTTTTGCCTCATCAGTAATATTTTGCACAGAATTAATATTATTTTTTTATTCACCAGCTTGAGTAATTTATCCAAACATGACCAACCTAATTCTGACGCTGGTAGGACTTTGTGCCGTCGGATCGTATGCTAGCCCACCACAACCTTTTGCGCCAGAGGATCCATTGTCGGACGAATTTATAGACTACATCAACTCTGTGCAATCATCATGGACTGTAAGTAATCATGGTGGAATCTTGATGAGTTGGACACCTGTAGGGCCAATGATTTTGTCTATATTGATTGAATTTCCGATTGATACAGTCATTGGCTTAGTTCAGATTTTCCCAGAAAAATTTGATTCATTGGAAATCAGCTGTAATCAGATGAGGTCCGGCATTAATTTTGTTTTTTTGACAGACAGCCGTAATTAGGAGGAGTCCTCAGAGATGGATACTTAATATTTTGTAACAGCTGCAGGGGTTCTGTTACCAAGGAAGCAGGGAAACCCTGTGGCTGTGCAAGGGTAGTGATGGGTGCAGATAGGGCAGTTCTCAGTTGCAGTATTTCAAAATCTCCAGGACTAAGTAATTTTTATTTAGAAAGGAATTTTTTTTCTAATTTTCTAAAATTTTTAATATAGAACACAGTAAAATCATAAAGAACATTCAGTAAAATTTTCTACGAATTTCACTCATCTGCTTCGATCAAAAGGGATGGAACATTAGCGGAGCCTCTGAGACACTACAATCAAGAAGTGCCTTTTCTGCACCCAGCACTTGAATTATTGAGAAGTGGACATGCTATTTTCGTTTCATGAATTCTCATTCATAGGAAACGTAAAACGGCAACTTTGAAGAATGTTTCTTTCGCAAGATGACTTTTCTTTTCAGTATGCGTGGAAACTCAATGGCAGAGGTGCACAAAGTTTCTAAACACCAGCTGCTTTTCGGCATCCACTGCCTTTACTTTACTGTGAAAGTTTCGATTTTTCCCTTGAAAAAGTGTCAATAAAGAATGATGCACCTATGATGATTACTTACTATAATTTTTATTGTGAAAAGAGAGAAAGTCTAGACATTTTTTTCTTCATATTTGCTCCAAAAAAAGTATTCTATTTTTTGTGTGTACACCAGCTTAAACATGTTATTTAATAAAATGTGCAGAAACTGCAATGTGTTTTGTGCTTTATCTCTTAGAAAACTTTCATTGGGTTGTTTCACACAAAAAATTTTTATTTGACATTTGATGCACTCTCAAGATTTGTGCAGTTGGTGAGTTGTATGAAATGTACTCCTCATGTTGCTTGAAATTGATCTATTTGAAAATTTACCCATTTTCCCTCATTAAACTGTTTCCTTTCAAGTATTTCCTTCTTTTTTAAACAGGCAGGCAGGAATTTCCATGAAAAGACACCCCATAGCTACTTGAAGAACTTGATGGGTGTTCATCCTGATGCTAAAGAGCACAAACTTCCACGCTTGGTTCATTCAGTGGGTACAGAAGACGGAGAAATTCCAGACAATTTCGACTCTAGGACCCAGTGGCCAGAATGCCCCACCATCAAGGAAATAAGAGATCAAGGAGGTTGTGGATCATGCTGGGTAAGTGCAGTTTTTTTCATTTGTAACATCCTGTGCCTCTTTGTCATCCTTATTTCCTCGAAGGAACTTTAGTCTTGTGGGAGCACGATTCAACCTGGAGCAATAGTCTTGTTGGGAATTGGTAAACCTCCTCATCAAGATTAGATTAATTATTTTTCACCCACTATATTTTTTTTTCTTTCTTTCTATGGAGATCTGCACTAGAGATACATAAAAAAACCTATATTTACTCTCTAAAAATAAGTTTTTTGACCATCTTCATGTCTTTTCATACTATTGATTGGCCATTTTTTCTAATTTCTAAATCTCCCTAGTACCTTGGTACAACTTTTAAACTTCATAATCAAAATTTTGTCAGGATAAAATATATACCATTAATTTTTTTGCGGAACAGGAGAGAATCATTTTCATATTTATTCTTGGCTGAATTCGTCTGTTAAGTACAACCTGGCTGCTTTTTAACAGTTCTGTCCTCTGTTCAGTGTGCTTAGCAATATTTTTAACAGAATACAGCAACTGCTTACTACCAGAAGCTTAATCAAAAATGTACTCACCCGAGCATACAAATGAGACAACTACCTTCAGAATGCATAACTAAACTGTCACAGAACCATGAAGGATCCCTATAAAATTTTTAATTTCTATTACTTCATCTTTATTTCACAACTTCAGTACCTCAAATGTAATCTCTTAGAAGCAAACTTATGACTTGCATATTGTTTTTGTTGATATTAATCACCACATTTACCAACCACTTCAACAACAGTCTGATTCCATGTCAGGGTTTTGATTTTAAGGACTATAAAGTTCATTTTAAAAAATGTAAATGATCGATGAACTGTAAAAAAGACTTGGCGTATGGTCCATTGGCTCATAGCAATTACTTAGACCGCGAAAAAAATAGCGGTTGGCGGCAGTCGGCATTTAGGAAAGGACTATTTGTAGGTTTTAGTTACAGAGTTTCAATCTCGTAGGAGAGGCGGGATAATCACAAGAAATCAATGAGATCTTAATAGTGATAGGAGCATTGCATAATCTCAATATATTCACTAAAAGTGTTGTCTGGAAATTGAAAAAATCTCGTCAAATGAATCGATGTTCCCTTGTTAGTCCTTAAATTCAAGTCATAAAATAAAAATGTGACAGGATCTGTAAGAAGGGATCCTATCCTCTGCAAGAAAATGTTTCTAATCTCTTTGCCAACACTTGATTCACGATTTTCTACTACCCAAGAATTTTAGTCTTGGAATTTCAGTTTTTGATATGTCAAGGTCAGACTTGCGCCAAAATTCCGGATTTTCTTTTGCCATGCATTTGCAAAAAGTCAAGGAAAATCTTCTTCCGGAAGAGAAGGTTTCTTTTCACAGATCTGGTTACAAATACATTCTTAGTAGAATCCGGAAAATATTTGGTAAAAAAATCTAGTTCTACCAATTGGAAAATTTTAGCAAAGAAACTATCTGTACGAAATATGATTCATAATCAGGAATTGAAACGTAGAAGTCGAGCTTGAAAGATTTGTCAGGCATTGTTACAATGCCTGAAGTTCTTCATACCTCCCTTATCCTAAATCCAATGAGTTAAATAAAACTTCCATTGGTCAATTCTCAACCTATTCTGTCACTTTTATGAGCTTTTAGATATTTTAGGAAAAAAGAATGAAAAAGAAGAAAAATCATCTAAATTTCTCGCTTGTATAATTATTCTCTCCAGGCATTTGGAGCAGTAGAGGCAATGTCAGATAGAACTTGCATCCACTCCAAAGGAAAAGTGAATGTTCATCTAGCAGCTGAAGATCTCCTGTCCTGCTGCTATGTTTGTGGTTTTGGATGCAATGGAGGTTTTCCGGGAGCAGCTTGGAAATTCTGGGTTCGCAGAGGAATTGTCAGTGGAGGAACCTATGGATCTCACCAGGTATTTGTTCAGCTGTTCACCAAATGTTTTAAAATTTTCCATTTTTATGTCTTTCAAATGCATTTGATCCAGGGGTGATTCTACTTAATCGGCAACACTAGTTTCCTTCTTTTATAGGTGTCATTGGTAACAACTTACTTCTCCAAAGTTGAGACTTGTTTTACCACCTTGTTAAAATCCTCTCTGTTTTTCACGAGGATTATTCACAAATTATTCATTGCATTTGGGAAGAGAAGTAACTCAATAGCCTTTCCTTCAAAGCTTTTGCTACTTTCTTCACATTTCGTTCTACAGATACTTATGTGCATGAAGTAACTCAAAATAAATGAAGTGAAATCAATAAAATACTTACCTAAATAAATTCTATCATTTTCCTTCCTGAGGAAAGTAAAATAAATTATAAAACAATTTCACTTGCACAATTGCTCTTACTTATAATCGCCTGTAAAAATTAAGAAGTAGAAATAAGCCTTTTTGATTCTCAAAAATGTGTAGTGGCAACATTTTTGCACTCAAATGTTGTTTTTAAATTATCAGCATTCTGAACACTTCAACTCTGATGCTTACAAAGCACAAAAGGTTCTGTTTTTTCATTATGTCTCTTTTTTTTAGGGCTGCAAACCATACTTGATCCAGCCTTGTGAACACCATGTTAATGGTACCAGACAAGCATGCTCAGAAGTTGGCAAAACTCCCAAGTGCACCAGCACTTGTGAAAAGGGTTATGATGTCCCATACAAGAAGGACAAACATTTTGGTGTGTACTGTTTCTTTTTTCTCTATTTTTATCTCTCCTATCTTAAAGTAAATAATTTGCACAAAAACATCCTTCAATGTCATAAAATTTGTAGATCAAAACTCTAATATTCTGAAGCATGTTGTGATCACCATATACCAGATTTAAGATTATTTAAAGTTCATTTTAGATTTAAGTTTGAAGTATACAAAAAAAAATTTTTAGGAACCTGTCTTACATGTTATTGTACTATTAGGACAAATATTAGCACAGATTAAGTTGTCCAGGCGTTTTAACCACTGACAGTGTTTTATTATGGTTCTTTTTTTATTCATTCTGAAAATTGCGCACTTCACAATGAGCAAAACTGTTCTACATTTTTATTTTCACTTTAAACAGGTGCCCATGCCTACTCTATCGACAGCGATCCTGCACAAATTCAAAAAGAAATTATGACTAATGGTCCTGTTGAAGCAGCTCTCACTGTGTATGAGGACCTTGTCAGTTACAAGAAAGGTAATATTCTTTTACAATTTTAGAGTGTTTTTTGGAGATTGATTCTTCATCATGATCAACCTTATACTGTGTAAAAAAAAAAAAAAAAAAAAAATTCCCTCAAAATATTTAATCTTCCCTGCCATAATAGGTACCCAGAATAAATCTCTTGATAGCCCTGTCGGTGATAGTACTTCCACAATACAGAAAAGATTGGTCACTAAGACTGTATTTACCCAAGCAATGAAGCAACAATCAATATGAACGGCCTGACCAAGAGTACAACAACAGCAGTCCATGAAACCCGTGTCAATTTTTCTCAATTTTGGATGTGAAAAAAATTTCGAGAATGGTGTCGAATCCTATGTAGTTTGAGACATAGAAGCGATTGTGCATGGTCTTGAGGCTCCCTGCAGCTTCCAGAGTTGTCAAATCAGCGTTTTTTACCGTTTTTGATTATTCTTCACGGGCATGTGACATAACTGATGCACTCCAGCCAACTTAGGAGCTTTTTAAACCAGAAAATTGGATGCCTCCGGTCATTTTACATGGGACAAGCTTGGTTTCAGTTTCATCGGTGAACTTTCGATTTTGACCCTAAAATAATTGAGTAGTATGTGCTATCTATATTAATGCAGAAGTCCTACCTACTTAGGCTACGTTTATCCATCAGTGATAGGGGGGGGGGGGGATCAGTGAAGGGGTGAAAATAGAAACTCGCCAGCATGTCAGTCTTCATAACCATTCATCAGGTAGTGGGCGTTTGTTTTGAGCATTTCCCAACTTAACAAGAGTGATGATGTTTTGAATTGGCCCAGAAATTTGATCAGTTGTCAAGTCAATCCTCCTCTCTACTGGAACTTGATGGTAGAATAACACTGGATTCACACTATTCTGTGTGGAAATCAAAGCCAAAAAATTCTAAAAATTCGCATTAGAGTTACAAAATAAATTGTAATGAGTTTCAATGCAAAACCAAGAGTGTTCAGCTCAGGCAGGTGTATTGGAATACGTAGCTGGGGTCACACCAAGAAACCCATACTAGTTTGGGTCTTTTTAGACCTCATTAGTATATCACACCTGTCATTACTTAGTATTCCAATGCATCTGCGTGAGGTGAACACTCTCCTTCCTCAGTCTTGCACTGAAACTCAAAAGAGTTCATTTTGTGACTCCAATGCTAATATGTCCTAGAGTTTTTTGGCCTTGATTTCCTTGCAGAATAGTGCGGACTCAGCACTATTCCACGATCCTGTTACTTGCAGTATTCAGGCCACATTTCTAGCGTTTTTTCTTCTCTGTTCTCATTTTAATGTTGAGTGCAGGTTTGTCAGAATTTTCTGCAAAACATCGTTCTTTCTTGCTTTTGCTTTGTTTTTGCTTTTAATATTGCACTGAATAATTCATGTGTCTGATTGTTCAACTCAAAAAAAAATGTTTTCCACATCTCAGGTGTTTACAAACATACAGCTGGCAAAGCACTTGGTGGTCATGCAATAAAAATTATAGGATGGGGTGTTGATGAACAAAGTAAACTACCCTACTGGACTGTTGCTAATTCATGGAACACCGATTGGGGTGACAACGGTTTCTTCAGAATTCTCCGTGGTAAAGGTGAGTGTGGAATCGAGGATAGCATTCAAGCAGGTTTACCTAAAGAGTAAGAAAATATCTCGATAAAGTTTAAGCATATTTTTAAGACAGTCATTACCGTAAATATTTAAGGACAGCTTAATTTTGAATCAATTTAAATGGTATCAGTACTTTAGTAGAAGCGTTTTCTAAGTTGAGACTGTAAAACAGAACAAAAAATGTTTTGAAATGGCAAAGTTTTTTGTTAATTTGACTTCAACGCTAGTCAGACTTTCTTAATAGAACAAAAATTCTCAAATTTTATTCATCCTAAGTTTAAATCTATGCTTGCGCCCTCTGTAAAATTAACATTTTTTCGCCCTCTAATTTCTTTTATTTTTTAAGTACCATGAAGATTATATTTCATCTTGTAATCAGTGTATTTCTACACCATTGATCAAGCCTCAAAGAAATGACACTCATTATTTGAAGAGTATCAAGTTTAAACAGCAGGCAGTTGTACCATAAGTTTTTGTCATGAGAATTCTATAGGTTGCTTAATCAATTTTCTTCAATTCCTTATCGGTACTTTGAGTGTAGTATGATTTTTCAGATGGAAATTTGGAAGTCTAAAATTTCATCTTATCAATAAGCTTACAAAATGCATTCGTGACTAATACTGTCTTTAAATTCATCCCTTCACAAAAAATTATGTATTCTCGTACTTTTTCTCGGAACTAAAATTATGTGGTCCCTTTTTATTTTCCTGCTAATTTCTACTTAATCTACCTAACATACTTAAGTTACTCCATGACACCACTATGTCTACCATATAGTAAAATGAGTCATTCAATCCCAAAGCAATACATATAATTTATGTCTCACAATATTTTTCATCCGTTTAATAGATGAAAATTTGTAGAACATATTCCAATATAATCTGTAATTGTTCATTCAAAGTGAATTATTGTTGAACAGAGTTCTTTTAATGCTAAGAGAAATTCATCGACTTAGATTTTTAAAGGTCTTATAAGTCTTTCAGTATGTTCTCAAAACTTTCCACCTGAAAGATAGACAAAGCCGTGTTTCTCACATGTAATGGTTTCAGTCTCGAGATTTCCCAATAATGAATGTAAAAAAGAGCAATACTTAGCAGCTTTCAATACTCAATATCCATGTGATACAAAATTGAATTAATTGTAAACTGTGATAAAACATATATTTTGTGATTTCGTATTAATTCTTAAGGTTTGTGTGAAATTTACTCATCATTAATACTCAAAAATATTGATTGCTGCTTAAATAATGAATGAACTTGAGTTTTATTAAATTATAATTTTAATTTAATTATTACTTTAACATTTTTCCCCGGATCAAGCAACTACATAATTTTTTCTGTAAATTGAGTGTCTTTTAGTAGCTTTTAGAGTTAAAAATTTAATGATTTTTCAGTCGGTTTTTCTAATCATTCTCTTGTCTTCTCCGTGTTATTAAATACTTTTGTACTTTAAAAATAAATGTTTTCTTTTGTCGTAAAGTTTGATTTTGTGCTACTTTTGTCTCCAGTCTATGAATTAATTAAGGTAGGCACCCTGTAACCAAAGTAACCCTGTAGTGTGTGCCTAGCATGATTTGAACAAGGGTTCAATTTCCTCCGAAAACTACTGCTTGTATGTGAAAGCTGGGGCTTGTTTTAAGTTGTATATGCAAAGTAAGGCCTGGCATATAAATTACTTAGTTCATAAAATATGCAATTCTGAAGATTGCAGTTTTTTGCTCCCGCTTCTTATCCCTCATCATACACCTGTAACGCAAGTATGCGCCAGTGCACTCCCCTGAAAATATGTACATCTGCTTACCCTGAAATTGGCAAGTTGTGAAGAAATTTTGTCTCCTCATCTTAGATTTTCAAAGAATCTGAGCTATGCGGCTATCCTAGCAGTAAGTGATGCAGTCCTGGACCCCCCCCCCTCCCCCAACGCATGCTCAGCCTCTTCCTTCCCCATGGGGCATTACATATTTTGTAGACAGCCCTGAAGGGCTGAGTCTTCAATAACATGGAACTTCGAAATTAGAGATTTAGGCACATCTAAGTATTTCTTGCTAATCTATGAAGTTTGGTTATCGAAATATGATTCTGCCAAATGTGCAAGGGATTTATTCTGGAAATTTAGTATTAGGTAAAATGCACAGGTTTGTGATTTGGTAGATTCTTGAAAGAAAAATGCAGAATATTAAAATGGAAGGTAACCCCATGTAATTAAAATTGAAAACATGAAATAACACAAAATATAAGTACAGATGATAAACATATAAAACATTGCTTAAAAAATATAAAATATAAATCATGAAATTAGAAGGAACTTAAAAAGATATCTATAATACTGCATGTACAGCCACAAAATTACGACAAGTAAAAATGTACACATAATGCAAATTTACAAACACGAGTCAAATGCATAATCGGTTTACAAAATAAAGAAATGAATAAATAAATAAATAAATCAAATAGAAAACACTATCAAGACCAAAAACAAAAATAAAATGTAAAATACACGGAAACATTTCTCAAATTTTTATTACATAACATTGGGTATCACTTTCTACCTCTGCATTCCGGTGCAGTGTGGAGGACTTCCTATGGACTCAATTCATCAAAAGCAGGAAATCAAGTCATTTGGGTTAGAATTAAAGCCTGTATATACCAAACACTACAAGTCCTACAGTTGACCTAGGATGAATTATAAGTCTGGGATGAGATATATTTGATATTGGTAATCGAACACATTTCTTTTGTGTGCATTTGTTCTTGGATACAAACTTTACTTTTCATCAAATTGAATTTCCTCTAAACTTCAGCTTAACGACCTAGAAATACTGAGCAATTAAGAAACTCTAAATGACAAACAACGCAGGATTAATTCTTCAATATTACAGTAGCAAAGTTAATACTCGTTCTCCAACATGATAAGAGTTTCTGCATTGCATCGCTAATAATGAGAATCTGATCAGCACCTGATTTCTTGTCTCGATTTATAAACTCAGAGAAGGAGTGATACTGAATCATCTCTCAGGCTATGATACTTAACGAAACCTCAAATTACAGAGGAATTTTTCCTTACACAAGGTTTTTTTCTTTTTTCAATTTGACAGTGGTTCCAGACAAAAATGCCCACATTTTGTAAGCCAACTTAGATTTGCTTTCTTTGAAGTAATTACATGAAATATAAAACTGAATCGAATAAAGGACACCAAAATGTATACTGCTTACAGATGATAGTAATGAAAGAATATTAAATAATACAACTTCATCAGGTGATTGTTGGGCGTTCAGAATGTTGGTAACAATTACACATTGTTGTTTTCCTTGGAAGTTAAATGTGCGTTAATACATTGGACTCTGACATTGAAACTCATAATATTTTAAGGAAAAATCTAACATAAACGTTGAAAGGAAACAATGCAATGTATTTTATCTAAAACCAGATCTTGGTCGGAAGAACAAGGACCAATGGAAGTCAACGCTTCTCAGAATTTGCAAAAAAGAGCAGCATCTTAGTGATATAAAAATAGTATCAAAAACAGGAATGTATAAATTAGATAGTTGAGGATTGAACTACTCTTAAAACTAAAAAGTTTGTGCTACAATATAATTGGTAAGACTTTGTATCAGATATTTTGTACCAATAGCATTTCACAATGAATTCGATGAAAGAAAAATTTTGACCCTGCTCGGTTGATAACTGTAGGTTAACGGAAATTTTAGACATGTTATCTCTGGCAAATTCGTTTAATGTTTTCTTCTAATAATTCTGCTTGCCAGACGCTCCATTCATGATGAGAAGTTTGGAAGTGGACCTGTAGACAAGGTATGAATTACAGCACTATGCAGCATATTTTCTCTTCAAGATCTGACGTAGAAAACAATTTCTATGATGATGAGTCTGGGAATCAACTCCTAAGCAGAATGTAAATGTTTACAATCAACATTGGTTAGGGGGAGAATTACAAATTAAATTCAAATTCCATTTGATCTGCATTAAAAACACTACTCGTTAATATTTTATTTGGGGTTTCATTTCCAAAAGTCCCTCTGTGTAAATTCTTTCTACGTAAGATTTTGAAAAAAAGAACACTTGCCATTTTTTGCTAGTTTAAACTATTTGAATGTTTGCTTTAACCTCTGATGAAAGAGCAAACAGATTAAATTATTGATAATTTATCTTTGAAAAAGCGTCAGTTTATAACACCGATATTCATCATCGAGTTACATTCTAGGTCTGGGTCCATTGGGTCTTTCCAGACGAAAAGAGGGGTAAAACCTGCCTCTTATTGAAAGACTTTCTCATATATCGAGAAAGAATACTTTTAAAAAAAAACTACGGAAGAATGTACACTTTCACTACTTATTTAATGTATAATGTTGGTTCCTCAAATTCAAAATTGTTGCCTAAAAATGAATTTTACAATATTTTCTATCATTGAAGAAATAAGGTTACTCTTCATGAGATCATTGTTGCAGACATGAACAAAAGGGGAAGCACGAGAACGGGGCAAGATCATACGAAGAAGGAGCAGAAAAGTGATGGATTGCTGGGCATATTACTCTAGCTAAATAAATCCATAAATTGACAGTGAAACTGCAAAAATGCGTATATCCGCTGCCTTATTTCATAATATTCGCTCTAATTTCATTTCTCAAAAAGAGACTGAGCCAACATCATGACTTGAAATTTTCACAGAATGTTTCTCACAACCAGGAAAAAAAATTACCAAAGTTTTCAAGAGCTAACATGTAATAGTTTTCCCCGTAGAAAATAGGTATGACAGGAAGTCTGCGACGCCACAAACCATTACACACATTTCTGCAGTTTTATCATCCATTTATGTTATGCACCAGTAGAGTCAGCTTTGACTTAGAATGGAAGAAGAAAAACGCATGGGTGGGAAGAAAGAGATCGAATTTCCTCATTGAAACATTTAAGTAGCCAAAAACTAAAGAAACAATAAATGAAGTATGAGAGATATATAACAAGCGTAATACAGATGATCTACTAAGGGAGAGATGAGGCTAAAGTAAGTTGGGATGAGGCGTAAAGATTAACACAGATGATTAAGTTTTTCCCAAGACAAATACATTCCTCTGACCTTAATTCCTTTAAATGTATCAAATTCTTTACTCTCATTTCAAGAGTACTAAGTTTGCAAAACAGCATGTAAAATATGCTCTTCAATCAAAAGGGGGCAAAACTTAAAAAGAGGGAGACATAAAGAGTACATAATTTAACCTACATCAGTGGACAGATAGTCTAATATTTAACTCACTCTAAGTTCTTTCTTTTCAAATTGAAATATCACAAAAATGCTTCTTAATTAATACAAGAGTGCACCGCAAAGAAGAAGAAAAAAAAGAGGTAGGGATTGATCTCATTTTGATCTGAAGGTGGTAAAATTGTCTTAGCTTTAAATGTAAACCCAGAATTGGGAGTTCACCATGGATCTCTAGAAATAACAAGGCGAATTTTGAGAGATACTGTACCAATATAAATACTGTTAAAATGGCTGCTCCAGAGAGGATTTTAGCTGTATATGTATATAGCAGAGGCAGAGTCACCTTTCATTGCCTGAGAGACTATCTACAAGCTTTACTAAAATAAAAGTAATGAGGATTTCTGAGGGCAGCACTTTTCCTATGTATTTTGTATGCAGAGTGTGTGATATTAAAATTATGCGCCTAAATGAAACGATCAAAGAAACAAGAGGATCGGCAAAACTGATGACTATGGTAAACTGTTACAAAACTAGGATGAAATTCCATATTTTTGAGAACCTTCACATTAAACTACTGACTGCAACCTCTTCATTTTTTTCTAGTATGAGTGTAACCCATTGTAAAATAAATAAGGTTTCAATGATACAGTGCTAGAAAGAAGATAATGTTACCTATGTACAAATTCAGTACATAGTTGAAGTAAAAAATGTGCAAAACTTAAAACAATTATTAACACTGAAAGTACGGTGCAATTGGCTTTGTACAAAATAATTCAATATGGGTCGGAAACAAACCAAAAATATGGGAAACTCAGTTTCAAATTTTTTCATCGTCACAACATTTTTTCTCTTCTTTCAAGAAAAGGAAGTAAATTCATGAGAGCAAACATTAATTTAGTGATAATTAAGTCTCAGCTTCTAGGACTTTTAAGAAATAATACCTCACAAGAAATACAGATGTATAAGTAAGGCATGAATTTCAAAACACCTATTGAGTATTTTATGTTACTTATCATGAAAGCTATTGCCGTAGTAATACTGCATAGACATAATATAGGATTTTATTTGGCTCAGCATCATTTTGAGTTATTGCTGAAACATTCTCAGTGCAAGGTTTATAACTGCAAAATAATTTCATTATTGACATACTCTTTTAAGTCAAGAGCTTGATAAAACCTCATTAAATCAGTTTTTGATGAGCATATTTCTGTATTGATCTCAGAACCCGATAATGAAATGAAACAGTATAATGAAATGTCCTGGTAGATGTCAGTCACAAAAAGTCAATAATTCATCACTTTTTTGCTCTGAAACTGATCGAAGTTGAAAAATAGGAAATTTTCTGCACTAAAATTCAATGCAAAATTGAAATACATTTGGTCTAGCTTGAAAAACACGCAACTCAAGTACGCGAAATGGCAGATTTTCCGTTACTTTCCACTTTTTTTAACAGAGGACCAACTATCGAATTTGCAGAAAATTTTAAAGAATTTTTTATCATCCCTTCAAAAATATTATTCGAAATGTGAACAAAAATATTGGGCAATATTTTCTCAGGGGAAGAAAATGGTAAAATTTGATAGACTGCTATCAAGATACACGTTCATCTAGTTTCACCTTATTATCTTCAATACTTCTTCCCCTGATCATTTTGCATTCTTTTTTGCCTTCAAAAATCACCAAAACTTCACTCTTGACCCAGACTAAGAGGCCTTTTCATTCAGTCAATGAAACAGAAGAGATTATAAAATTAGCGAGAGAAAAAGACAACCTAAACAAAGCTTGAGTAGAGCTTTTGAAGTAGTAAGCAAGCCATTGATACTCATCGTTATCTAATAAATCTTTGAATGGAAAAATCATAATATTATATGATGCCTTCATGAGGTTTGTTTTTCGCCTTTGACATTCTTGAATTCATTCTCCTAACTGCCCTATTTGTACTTCAGTACAAACACGATTACACCATGTTCATTTATTTCAAAAAAGTGATTGTGGTTTGAAATATTTGTATGATACAACAAAAATTGATTTGTCTTTTGGCCAAGTTCCAAAATTTTGGACGTACTGATTTTCTAAAAATGATACTTAAGCATTTACATAAATGCTTTGTCAGTATTTTAATTAAGAGTGCTACTTAATTAGAAAGAGTAAAGTTAATTTTCAATGAATAATTACTAAATAAATAAGTCATTAAGTAAAATAAAATACTTTCAATTTGTATCACTTGTGCGCTTGCAGAGGAAGTTGGGCAAGATTTCTGGAAAACTCAGATCTTTTGTCACAGGTTAAGATGCAGCACCACCAGACCTAAAACATGTAAAAATATCGTAAGTGATCCTCACAAAGGATTCTCATTTACAGAAATTTTGCAGAATAAGTTTTCCAAAAAAATATAATGCTAAAAATTTACAATTAAATGTTTGTTCTTCGCACTATTGCTATTTTAATCAATGAGATCACTTGTTATTTTCATTTACCATTGGTAGATCTAAAGTCCCATAATACAAGCTTAGTAAAATTTTTATTATCCACCAGTTACTCCGTAATCTACTGTAATCTTCTTCCTAATTTTTCCAAGATAAAAGCAGATCATCACAATTTTTGCTCACAGTGGATTATTAAAAATTGAAAAAATAAATAAATAAGAATAATATTGACAAACTATAGGGAGTATTGTGTACTTGATGAATGAAGTCTACTCTAAGACCATTCCACAAGTTTGCAGGTATGCCTAAAGTTTATTGCTCCGTAAAAGGTAAGGGGAAGTTTTTTCCTCAATACTTACTTTAGTGCTTTGAATCGCTCTTTTTCATGGTTGTTTTCGGGAGGCTCACATTCAAAAGATGCCAATGCTAATGCTGTTCAATGAAAAACAGAAAAAACGAATAGATAAAAAAAAATAGAGAGCATATAAACATAAAATTAAAAATAATGCCTTAAAAAACATAATTAAGTAAAGAGAATTTTTCTTGGTGCTTAGATATTTGTTGCAGAAAATGGTACCAGGATAGAAAACCTTAAATTTTGTTGGACAATGGTTATTTAGGAACCATCTATAGTTGAACATATCAATTGGTGAAAATTGAGCTACATGGATTTCAATGTTGCTTGATGAAGCATAAAAAAATGTTCCTGATACCTCTTTTTTATGACTTCCAAAAACAATGCAATTCATCTTAACATAATAATTAAAATGACTTAAATTTATCAAATTCCATCTGACTGTAAAAGAGAGAAAATGGGGATTTCAATATTTTTAAGTGCATAAAAAACCACACTTACATTTAAATGGTAGCGTAGAGAATGGTTAAAAGTAATTGAGTAAAGCAACAGATCGTGAAAAACGATAGTGCATCTGTTTCCTATTTCTCTCACGTTTGAACACGAGGGAATTTGAGACAAGAAATACTCCACACTTATCATTGAGGATTAGTTTCTGGAGATGTCTCAGAGACAAAAGTGTGCACATGCTATTTAAAGCAAAGTTTTACGACAAATTCAATGAAACTTACCATTTTCTGATAAAACTGGACTAGCTTGAAGGAATGCAATTAGTTTATGGTTTTTCTCAAAAGGACACGCAACTTGTTTCCAACTGATAAACTCTGTTACTTGTTTTGCTAACTCCCAAAATTTTTTAAAATTGATATGACCATTGCGTAATCTGGAAAGAGAGAAAAATACATTTTTCTATTAGAACGCAAAAGGATTCTTTCAGTATCACAAAATGCATTTATTCTAATTTTTCGACCACCTCTGTTCCTCATAACACACAGCTGCACATTCATGCATAGCACATTTTTGCGTAGCCTGCATAAGATAAAAAATTAATTGTATTCACAGTCAGGGATTCATTTTTGATCACCCTAATATAAAACTTCCATTAGTCTCGCCAACGTCTATTGATAATAGTTAAAAGAAAGAAGAGGACTTCTTCAACATCATTTCAGCTAAAACATAAGGACACACATTTCTTTGAAACTTTTTCACTTATTTACATTTGCTCTGCTCTCTTCTAACACATGACTGAGATGAGGATCATCACTACAGAGTTAACAAATAAGATGATTGATGTTATAAATCTTTTACTTACTTGTTCGAACATCCTTCATTTAAAAAGTAAAGATCTTTGACTAAAAGTGAGAAAAATGGAATGACTATGCGTTGTCTTAAGTCTGTGGCCCCTGCTGAGCGCCACATCGCAGCTTTCAGTGTTGAACGATAACTACTGAAATTGGATGATGGATCCATCTGATGCTCTAAGACAGAAAATTTAGCAGACTGCACCTTGTTCCACTGAAAAAGAGAAGGGAAGGGAAGAATAAGAAACAATCAACTTTCTTTAAAAAAAAAAAAAAAAAAAAAAAAAAAAATTCTCCAGATAGGGGATGAGTTAGGTATGGAATAATGCTTACATGTTTAAGATAAGAGAAAAATATAAAATATGTATGAACATTATGATTTTACGTCCAATATTAAATGAAATATTGCTCTCAAAAAAATACAGTTGATGATGTCATCCACTAAATTTGTGCATACCATGGTTTTTTTCACCCTCCTTCTGTCATTCATGAAGGAACCAATGCCAATGCTTGCATTCCTAATTGGTAGGTCGGGGATATAAGAAACCATGATATGCCCTACCTCCCGCGGTGGATGATATCAATAGTGGCACTCTTCAAAAGAGGATGCCTCCACTGAGATCGGATATAGGTACGGAACATTTACACAATTATTAGTGTGTATTATACATCTAACTGAGGGATGACTAAGTATATCTGGACTGAATATTTTTAATGAAATTTCTAGGTCTTATGCAAATCATGAGACACATGCATGAATGAGTCATTCGGTAATTTTTTGGTTTCATCAACTTTCGGGAAATTTTTTTATGGAATCATGTGCTCTTGGTGTATCTAAAATTCCGCCCATTTTCTATAGGGAAAGAAATTTCCTCTCAATTTTGATGGATATGATTAATATGATTTAATTAAACAATTTTGAACTTCAAATATGGTACGGTAAATTCTTCATAACACTTTTTCTCTGAGGTACGTAATTTTAGTAAATATATACGATTTCAAACCATTACAAAACGCATTTGAATTTATTTCATTTCTACTTATCACCAGACCAGATCCAAATTACAAAACTTTAAGATTAGAATAAAGAATTGACGAATCACACGGTTTTTGCATCAAAATTATTGCATAACTGCATAACTATTTTGAGAAAATGATTGCTGTATTATTATGATCTTTATCTTGACTTCCAAGGCATTTCGGTCATATCATTAAAGAGAGAAACATTGGTCAATTTAGATGCAACTTAGTGTACTGCTTACAGTTTTCTTTAGTCTGGAAATCGGTGACATATTCAAACCAGCAATTATTGCCATCAGAGAGTTGAAATTCCCGATATTGAAACATTCTCTTGCAGTTTCAATCCAGTATTCGACGGCTCGGACCCTTTGCTTCTTTTTTTGATGCTGAAAAAATATTTCAAATAATATAACATTACAACAACAGCAACAATAAAAGATAAGGATATCGATTATTGTGAAATGACATGGAATGTTGGCAATGAATGGAGTGACATTGTCAGAAGATGTTGATCGTCGCGTTACATTTGGCTTTTATTCCCCGTTAAAATAAAAATAAACAAGCCATTATGTCTCAGTCGTTTCACTCAAAAACATTTGCTTGGATATAAGGAAAAAAATTTGACAATTGTTATTATTATTACTTTTTTTGTAAATTATCAAGCAAAAAAAGGCAAAGTTATATGTAAATCAAGTTAGGCCCTTTACCTCTATAAACATCACACTCAAATGTTGGTTGAAAATTCATTTTTCTAGCTGAATTCCACTTTCTTTCGCAAGTATTTTCAGTTCAATTTCAATAACCTTTTTCAAGAGGCAATAAATCCAAAATGAATCACTTTATATGAATAGAGAGATCATTCAACGGAACAGATAGAATTGGCATTTTATTTTAATTTTCTGCTCTCCATTGGTCGGTTCCCTTGCTCCTGAACTGAGCCAATAATTTTGACAATAATTTGTAACTTCACTAAAAGTATTGGCCTTTAAAGGAGAATAAATTAAGCCGCTATTCGACACTTTTGGTCGGCAAAATAGGGATAGCACCTCGGAGACAATGTGACTCTTTCAGAACATGATCTCATCAGAAAATTGTTTTCCTTGAGCTGAACGGGGCGTATAAACCGACGAGTGGATGGAGCAGAAAGCAACCCGTTTTACAACTTTAAAAATCAACCTTACCTTACAAATGTGGGTGGCAACGAAATAGCTAAGCCTGTTGAACCATTGGACGTATGCCTCCAGATTACGAGTTTTCTTCATTTCCTTCAAAGAGGGTTCTACGTGAGGATTCTCTTTGGCAAAGGCTTGGACGAATTCTTCAGGACCAATGAAAGACAGCCTCTCCAGTTCTATGTGCGTCAACTGCTGCGCTAACTCGGCCGCGTTTGGACACATTTCAATCACATCCGTCTGAAACAAAAAGACAAAAAACATTATTATTAATGGGACAATACTCTTGAATAACTGAATGCTAGAGAGAAAAACCGGAAAATCCGATTCACTGAAAAAATAGCGTGTTTTTTCATATTTCGCTGCGAAATACAAATTATGTGGCGATCATTCCGCCTTCAATTTTTGGGTAGGCAATAGCAGTTACGTTGATGCCCGATAAATCGCTCGAGTTTAAATAGTTCACAGTTCACGAAATTCGAAAGACGTCAAAAATTTGAGACTCTCGCTCGAATTCTGACAAATATGACGTAGACACCAGATTTCGTTGGTGGCCTGAAGATTATCTGACTGCACAATCGCAATCTTGCAGGCAAATACTACTCTGAGAATCAACGCGCAGGGAATTGCATACTTTCCAGACTTCAACACGTGTGACAAAAACACGCGTGGTATAAAGGAAAAAATTCCGGACCTTCTTGCAGAATTTCCGCACTTTTTCGGTACTTCCGAACCACCCTTAAAAAATCGGTACTTTTCTCGGACTTTCCGGACTAGTGAGCACCCTAAACCCCAAACACAGCAATTTTGAACTGTACAGGTTGATCCGTAGTTGAACGGTCAGACTGCAGGAGCTTGTTCTATGGGTCAAAATAAGACTTTTTGTTGAATAAAGTTTTTTCAAAAAGTGCCCCCAGTCGGAGCGTCGCCTCCCCCCCCCCCCCCCCCCCCCCCCCC